GGCTGTAAAGGGGGAGTAACTATGTATACTTGGAAAGAAAAGGTCACAGTTAACAAGCCACCTGTTCTTTCTTTTAGGTCGTAGCTAATAAGCTACCTGCATTATCTTGCTAACATTTGATCTTGGAGAATGGTTGCACAGAGTCATAATTCCACAGCTGCTGTGTTTCCTTTCTATTAGAGATGTCATAACCTAATTGATCACTGAGACCTCAGTTGTGACCATTGACATAGGGAAGTCTGTCTCTATACACCAGTCGAAAGGTCAATTAGCAAGTCACACTTAGGCCTTGGAGTGACTCATAGTTTTAATCAATAGCCAGATTCATAAGCCAAATCAATAATATTTAAAGCCTGCTCAGTGCGGTTTCAAGCTGGTCTCCTGCAATCAGTGCTACCCAGCCTTTTAGCACCAGGGACTGGTTTTGTGGAAGATGATTTTCCATGGACTAGGTGGAGGCGAGATATGATATGGTTTGGGGATCAGGTTCTCATAAGGAGTGGTCAGCCTGGGTCCCTCACATGCACAGTTGACATTAGGGTTTGTGCTCCTGTGAGAATCTAATGCTGCTGCTAATGAGCGGCTGTGGATATAGATGAACCTTTGCTCACTCATGCACCACCAACCTGCTGTGCAACCAGTTCCTAGCAAGCCACTCCCACTGCTGGTCTGGGACTTGGGCTCTGGTGATGCCCATGTACTTGAAGAGTGAAATGGTGTTCTTCTGTCACCTAAGAACTTCTGGATGTTGTTCAGGAAGCTATATTTGTACTACAGACACAGTGATTAGCTGCCACCAGAGTTCTCACACAGCAAATTTAAAACCTTGTTATGTTATTGCAAAAGGGCAAACATTGTTGGTTTGCAGTTTCTGTTAAATTCTCTTTGTGCACCATGAAAGTCGAAGGGAGAAATGGAAGTATCTCAGTTGTTCAAGCACTGTGCATCAGAGCTGCTGTCAGTACAGTGATGTTCTGAATTGGAGATCCCACTGGCTGTGAGCAGAGGGTGGTGTCTGTATGTGCGGAACAGTGCTGTTTGCCAAGCATACTTTGAAAAGCCATCCTTGTGCCAAGCTGAGCCATTTGCCTTGGGCTCTCCAGGTTATGATTTTCTCCAGATTCTGTGGTGTGCAAGGCCCCTGTGTGCCCTGGGCTGAGGATGTTAGTGGTCAGCAGCCCCGAGAGTCCCCAACAGAACTAAGCAGAGCAAGCCAGACACTGGCTCCATCTCCCTGGAGCCAGGCAAGCATGTAGTCTCTCCTTTGCTTGATTGTTGGCTGTCCGTGGGAGCCCTGGTCTTTCACATTTCTCCCCTTGCTGCTGAGAACTACGTTAAAGGCAGATGTTAAGAGATGAAGTTTCACAATGGAGAAACGTCTTGATCTCCATGATATTTGTGTCAGGTTTTAAAGAATGCGATACTGTCCAAGAAATTTGCAGACCTAAGTAGAGATTATTTTATACGGTTTAACATTCTTTAAAGCATATGTAAATACAAGGACTTGGAGAAAAGAGTAACAGTGTTACTGGATAGGATGCTTGTGTGGAGGGGAAGGGAATGGTGTTCATTTTACCACAGCAGGAGCCCTCAAACTGTCTGGCCCAGGACTCAAGTCTGGCCCACTGCTTTGTTTTGTTTTTGAAGAATAAGTTTTATTGGATCACAAATGCTCCCACTCATTTCCCTCCCCTTGATGGCTGCTTTCCTACTGCACATACAAAGTGGAGTATAAATGACAAAACCTTTGTATCCCTGCGGGCATGAAAAGAACTTCCACTCTTGCCCCCTGAAGGTTAGCCTAGTTAAATCTGCTGAAATAGGCTGATCCTAAGCAGATTCACAGGAGGAGAGGTGTACTGGTCCACTAATGTGTGCACAGGAGCCACATCGAGTCCAACTCTCTGAGAAGGGCAGATGGCTGAAGCTCAGATGCCCTCTGAGGGGAGAGGGAAGTAGGGACATAGGTGGCTTCTGGGGGGAAAGCAATGATTTCTGGTAGGGGTGAATGGGAAAAAATAGGCAACAACCTAGGCCAAAGCACTCTGCGCTACATGTGGTATTTGGTGTTTACTCTTTTCCTCTGTGATATGAGTTTAATCTTCCTGAGTTAATGAAATTTCTGTAAGAAGATTAAAAGCCATTGTGTTTCTCTTTGGTGGATCCAGTCTTTTTGTAGATAAGGGAAGATCAGAGGAAGCCTTTCCCTGCATATTTCAGGGAAGAAGAGAGGCTTGAGAAACAAGAAGATGGGGAAGGTCAGAGAGACCCTAAGCCCGCTTCTTTACTTAACATACGAAGGCACCATACTTTGGGGTATCATTTTGCAAACCCCATACTTAAAAGCCAGTTAAGGTTTGCCAACCTCTAGATTAGAGTGTAGTCTTCAGATTTGATTCATTACAGCTTTTAGGGCTGTGAGCAAGTTAATTCCTCTAAGCTTTAGTTTCTTCATTAATGAAGTGGAGGATACTGAGGATTAAACATTTAAAATAGTAACATATGTACAGTTCTGTCCTTTCCTCTAGGACCTACAGATGTTATGGGCAGGCACAGTGCCTGGCACATAGGAAGTACTCAATAAACTGTAGATATACAAAATAGCTAATTATTTGAGTTGTTATCTTAATTATTGTCATCTTCTGCCACTTTTTTGACCTTTGCTCCAGAATTGGTGGAATTGTCTTCTTTCCTCATTGTTGGGTCACATGGCAGCTCTGCTTCCTACAGAGTCTGTCAGTGGAGCGTGTGGGAAGAAAGTGGATCATCCTATGTTAATGTATGAAAAACATGGAATCCGGGCATTCATGTCAACCTCTATATCAGGACAGTGTATGGAGCATAGTCCTGGAATGTAAATTCCTGGGTTCTCCTGTCTGCTAATGTATGGCCTAATTGGGGAAATCAGTTAACCTTTCTCTTCTTCAGTGTCTTCTCACATTAAATGCTAATGTGACCCATAGGGTTGTGAGGACGTACCGAGGTCAAAGAAGTATTTGGGTCATAAGCAGTGCTGGTTCTTGGTGGTGCTTCTTTAGGGAGGTGAGAGTGGGAAGTGAGCTGGAGTCGGAGACACATATACCTGCAAGGTACATTCTCCCAGCGTTTCAGGTGTTTCAGCAAGCCCATGTTAAGATCTCAGCCTCCTCTTTGGGTTGATTTATTTCTCCATGTAACATATGACTATAACATCTGACATGTTTTCTTTACTTGTTTATTAACTATTTCCTCCCACCTCATTACTTTGCCAGGATAAAGATTATAGTCTTGTTCACTGGTATTGTTCTTGATGTCTGAAATTATATTAATACATAGTGGATGCTCATTAAATACTGGTGAGTGAAGGATGGAGCCTGGAGAACTTCATCTAGTCCCAGAAGCATCCTGGTTGTTGTGGTGGGAATCAGGCTGGGGCTAGATGAATAGCTGACAAGCAGCCTGGTGAACTGGAACACCCATTGTATGGGACAGAGTAATACTGACAATGCACAGTAACAAAAGATTTGTAGGGAAGCTCTCACCTTTAAGATCGAATGTGGGAGTTGTGGAAGTGGGAAGAGGTTTGAGGTTTGTTGTTTCTGGGGTTTGCACTGGGGTCTTTGTTCTGGCATGTGCAAGGCTTCCATAAGGTCCCTGTGGCATCAAATCCCATGCCTGGGGTGGGAGCTGGAAACACAGGTCTCCATAGCTCCAATCATCGTCCCCAGTGGTGAGTAGGGTGGAGACTAACTGTAGCCCAACAGTGGACCCTAGAGTCTACCCTGGAGCTTTACAGTGCTAGACCAACCAACTTACAGTATGTAAAGAAGGAAATGGACCTCAGCCTGATCCCAGGGGCTGCAAGTCAGAAACCTGAAGGGCTTTCTTTTATTTTCTACTCTTCATACCAAGGCACAGACATTTAGAAAGGAGAACAGACTGTGCAGAGGTGTTCTTTGAAAGGGGATGTATTTAGAGATAAGAATATTTGGTTGTTTCCTTTTACAAGATCAACTTGTTCATTAGATTGCAGTTCTTTGAGAGCCAGCATGTGTTTTAGTCTTCATTATACTTTCAGGGTCTAGAATATTGCAAGAGAAAGAGTAAACAAATAATTGAACAAGCACATAGACTGTATTTATTTTGGTCTTCTGATAGTATTAGTTTTGGACTAATGTAGGACTGTTTTATTCAAGCTTCCTTCATTCTTAAGATATTCTAGAGTAATTAGTAGTTAACATCATTTGAAAGTAGCTGATTTTGACTAAGATGAACCCAGCAATTCCGGGTACAAACTAAGTTTATGTTCTTTTGCACCTGCTCAGCAGGTGGGAATCGTCTTTATGGGTGCATTTTTGGGCTGGTGTGAGGGATTGTATCCTGCCCCCCAAGATAGAGCTCTTAGAGATGTGACACCGATGTGTCTCAGATAGTATGTGAGCTCTGTGCCTGTCAGGAAAGCTGTGCCTCTCAGTACAGCTTGTCTGTGATGCGCTCATAGCTGTGCAGCACAGGGATTGGCTTCCGGGTGGCTGGAGGTGGGAGACCTAGACTGCAGCCTGTCCTTGGAAATAAATCAGTGCTCTTGCTGACCAACATCCTGCCCAGAACCTGATAGTGAACCTCAGAGAATGTCACAAAGCTGGGAAGGGATCTACTGTTAACATAGGACTCCAGATTTGGGCTCATGGTGCCAGAAGCTGGTATACAGTGCCACGAGCATGTCTAGGCCAGAGAATCCATTTAACACTGAAGGACATACATGTGGATCTCTGACGCTCATCATGCTAAAATTCAGGGAACTGGAGCCACAAGATGAGCCTGTCACTAACACCAAAAAATGGGCAGATGTGCTAGTGCAACCCTTTGGAGAATGCAGGTGGAAATGTTGTACTTGACAGGGGACTTTCTCTTCGCTTCTGTGGCATGGAGGAAGCTTCGTTAGAAAGTGAGTTAATGGGCTTGGAAGCTCAGGGGTCCTCTGCACTCCACAGTAATTCTGCCCTCTGCCTGTTTTCCAGCATGGGCTACTGCATCCTCTTCGTGCATGGACTAAGCAGGCTCTGCACGTGGCTGAACCGCTGCGGCGCCACCACCCTGATTGCATCCACGGTGTTGCTGCTGCTACTCTTCTCTTGGAAAACTGTGAAACAGAACGAAGTCTGGCTGTCGAGGGAGGCCCTGTTCAGGTATGAGTGGACAGGCAAAGGGGTGTTTCTTCCCATTTATCTCATTCCTACAAATTTGTTTCCAAACAAATGAGGTAGCATGGGTTGGTGTTGTTTATTAATCCTGAAAATTACTTTCAGTAAAGTTTTAAATGGAAGATATAACTTTATTTTGAGTTTTAACTTTGGATGTTTTAAATGATATATAAAATTTAAATTGAGCTCCTTGTAAGTGAATTTATGAAAATAAGACTCAGGGGAAAGCTTTTAGGTGTGTGAATTCGTGTGGAAACAGTCCTAATGATGAGTGAGGGTGTAAAATCCGCCATAAACAAAATGAAACAGATGAGCCTAATTCTCTGCTCAGTCAAGTGGGTGGTAAAGCTGAGCACACAAGAGGAAGGAAGGGAAATGCGGTCTGTTTAGAATACGCTGCTGTATTAAGTTGTGACCTGTGATCTGATTGCTCTATTTTAAACGTTAATTTTGAGTAAGGAAATGAGAGACTCTTTCATGTTTGCATAGATTCCTGTCATGTTTCTGAGTATAACAGTGTCAGCTTAGAACCCTGAGCATGTCCTGAGTATGAATGTTCTTTGGGATCACCACTCATTGTGCTGGGCCCACAGCTGCCCTGTCCCACTCGAGCCATGGCGGCGGTGACCTACACTTGGCTCTTGGCATGGCCATGCTTGTTTCCCAAGAGCATTTGCCTGTCTCCCTGAGATTCCAGGCTCTCTTCCCTTCCACTCCTGCCCTCACTTATGGCCTCTGGGGCACCTTTGACAGCGTGGTGTTTCCTCAGTTCCCCGGCTCAGCTGGTACCCAGCACTTACTCTTTGAGAGCAAAGAACTGAAACAGTTGGGAGCGCTTAACAGGAAGGGAAAACATCGGAAGAGCAGAGGAAAGCATGCAGAGCTGAAGGCAAAGTTAGGAGCCGAGTGCACTCCCCAGCGAAGCAGGGTCTGGGCAGTCTGTGCTCAGCTTGCCTGGAGGAGGGAACTCATTCTGCATTCACATCAGAGTCGAGGAAGGGAAAGCCTTTGGCCCAGCTTAAGGGTGGTTACCAAGGCTGGGTCTCCGAAGAGGCCTTCTGCCTTCCATGGAAGGAGTTGGGGCTGGTGAGCACCTTGCACTTCCTCCGGAACTGTACCAACTGAGGCACAGTGCTGGGAGACAGGGCAGCAAATGGATGTGTGGGTGAATGAACCAACAAATGAACAAGACAAATATCTGCTATATTAATTTAAAATAATATATCCCACTTTACTACTTTGGCAATTTAACTTTCTTAAAATTTAAAAAATTAGCTTGGCATGCCCATCCAATTATTTTATCTACTTAATATTAGTATATCGTCAATGTTATCACCAATGTTGCAATGTAGGTGTTTTTGGGTTTTTTTTTGGTGGTGGTGGTGGTGGTGGTGGTGGTGGGTATGTAACAAAGAGCCTTGTGCTTGCTAGGCAAGGACCCTGTCACTGAACTATACCCCAGCTGCTTTTTTTTCTATGATTTTTGATCCATACAACCTGCAGAATGACTCTCAGACCTCAGAGTCTGTCCAGTCTGGGCTGTAGCCCTCCACAGTTTCTCAGAACACAATGGATCCCCACCCCCCAAGGTTGTTCTGTAAACACAGGGTTATTCAAGTTCAGTTAAATAATAGAACTTCCTCCTGGTCTCTGTTGGCTTAATTTTCTTTCTTTTATTTTTAGTAATTAGTGATTTTATGAAGAACTTAACCAGGTCTGCCTGTGTTGAACCCCACCCAGGTGAGGTACTAGCAGTGACTGTGTCTTCCGGTAACACTCACTGCTTCATCAGAGCAATGTCAGGGAGAGTTTGGCAGCAGCAGTTTATTTCAGGGACAGTATGTTAGGGTTCATACTGTCTACAGCAATCTTAACAAAGAAAAACTAAAGCAAAGTACACTGACTACACTCCAGAAGTCCCCATTCTGCCGGATGGAAGTGTGTAGGAAGCAGACAATTGACCAGTAAAATTCAGTCATTCCACATATGTGTTTAGAGGGCTTGGGCTGAGAGGCCTTTGGTGGTCAAATACAATTTTATGTCATGGGCAAGTCAAAGCTATTATTATATTTTAGTAAAGGTTGCTTTTATCTAAGTCTTGATGTAACTCTTAGGATTCTGAGACCTTAAGATTATTCTTTTTTCTTTAAGGCCAGTTGCTTGTGTGGATTTGCTGTGAGGAGTCAAATTTTGCTGGTAATCTGTGAAGTAGGTTAGGGTTGGAGCTAAGTGTGGGATCAGGAGTTAGACTTTCCGGCTTTACTCTAAGCCATTAAATAGTTGTATGATCTTGAGCAAGCTATGTTACCACTCTGTGCTTATTTTTTTCACTTAAATATTTAGAATTACAGTGTTTATCTTCAGAGTATAGTGTAAGAATGAAATGGTGAAAGATGTGTAAGATGGTGTCTCACATGTGGTAAACACATGTAAGGTTCTAGAATGTGAGAGAGAGGTTGTCCATAGCACAGCTTGCGGTCTGTGTGGGAGTCAAGCACATGAGAATGCAGTATTTCAGGCAAACACACTGTTAGACACAGAGCTTTGTATGAGTGCAAGCAGGTGACTAAGACCGAGGGAGGCCAGCAGGGACCATTCTGTTGTAGGTCTAGCTGAGTATTCAAGAATGAGTGAATCCTAACAGCTAAACCTAGGAACTAGCTGAAAGAAATAAGAAACAATTACAGTAGTCCCAGAGTTAACAGTGCCCTCGAGGAGGCCCTGGTTCTGTTTTCTCCTCTGTTCCAGACAGTACATCTATCCTCGGTTTGTAGGACACATAGCCTCACTGAGGCCTCTCTGATTATGTGGGATGGTTTTGCTTGGCAACACTGAGATCAGTCTTAAGACAGACCTTTGTGTTAGAGAAAACACACGTGGTGGCCAAGCTCCAGCCTTCCAACCTTCCAGCCGAGGACTCATCTCTCATGAGAGATCACAGTGTGTGGCATATTTCTAGGACACACAAATGCAGCACCCCTGCACAGCTTTGTTCTGCTGTTGGCTAGAAGCTTACACACAAAAGCACAGGAACCCAGCATGGCATCTCCTCAGACTTGCAGGAGGTAAGTTGTCCAAGCTGAAACAGCTGTTAGAAGGAGCTAGGATTTGAACCCAAATCTGGTGTAAAGGCCAAATGAAGATAAACTTGGCCACATCTTTTTTTTAAATGTTTGTTTCTAACCCAAACTATACTCAGTACACACACACACACACACACACACACACACAGGCACACACACACACGCACACACGGACGGACGGACGGGTGAGGATATCATAATTATAGATGGAAAGAAAATTTTCTTTAATTCTTTTAACAAGAATCTATTCTGTGTCCTAACCTGGGAAGAGGGTAACTGACAGCCCAGTAACAGCCCAGAACTTCACGTTTGTTTGGAGTGAATAGGAACAGTTGATAGATTAACCCCGTCTTCGGAATACCTAGAAAAACAGACTGCGTCCAGCCCAGAGTCTCTGAGCCCCATTCATGAGCTGTTTCCATGGCCACTGGTGAGCAGTTCATGGCCTAGACCATCCTCCCGCTCTAAAGGAAGCATCTTTTGCTGTCTTCTCCTCTGAATTGCTGAGCCAGAGAGATCAGCAGATCTCCCAGGGCCTGTAAGGGCCAGATAGGAGACATTTTAGGCTTTTGTGCCATTCAGCCTTGCAGCTACTGTATCCAACTCCAGTAACTGACTCTGCCATCAATCATCTCAGGAAAGAGGTCCAAGACATATGTGAACTCTTTGGCTCCTCTGTGGCCCTCAAGGCTGTAGTTTGCTTGCCAGCAGGGTGCACATTGTGACAGTGAAATGTTCTTTGGTTCAAGTAGTTCTAATGTTACTAGTGTCCTAGGGTGCTGTTTTGGCTTAGCATCAGATGTTGGCTAACTTCAGAGATGGTTCTGACCATCTCTTGGCCTCGGTTAAAATCTCTGCTCCACAGATTACCAGGTCTATCATTTAGAAAATTACCTTCATCTCTCTGAGCTTAAGTCTCCCTATCCTTAGTCAGGTGCAATAATACCCTCACCTGGTAGAGTATTAGGAGGACTGGTCAGGAGCTGACCCTTGGGACACAAATAAATGCTTGACCCAGTGCTTGGCTTACTCATGAAATGAGCATTCTGTAAGTATAGCTGTCCCACACATGCTGGTGTGCACCCTCGGTCAGAGCAGCATTCATAATTGAGGAGAGCCACAGATTCTTCTGGCTTGGCTTTGCTGTTAATCTTTGGTTGTATACTACATACTGACTTTTTTTTAATGTTCATTTCCTAACCAGAAATTTGGGGATTGTTCTGCAGTAATCACAACAAAACAAATATGCGCTCTAAAACCATAGAGAAATACCTGATAAAAATGGCTATTTTTATTATTTCCATTACCTTTCAAGTCTTTTGTAAGTAAAAGGTGTGAAGGAGAAGTGTGAAATGCGGGTGTTAAAATCCAGAGGTGAAAGGCAGATTTGTTTTTCAGATTTTTAAAATAATCCTTGTACTTATTAATAGGGCTCTAAATCATCCATGTGGTCTGTGCACATTCCATTTCTCTGTGGGGTAAATACTTGTAAAGCTGGATGTTGCCATTCAAACTGGAAGTGCCAATCAGAGCATCAAGGAAGAGAAGGGGACACGGGCCCCGCAGGACAGGTGACCTGGCCAGCTGTAGTTTCAGGGAAAGTATTTCCCTTGGCTGGTTGTTAATTTTCCTTTTTATCACAAACTATCCATTATAAAATGAGATCCTAGAAAAACATAACAGAAAAATATCACAGCGAATATAAAGGTCAAGCACAGCAGTGGAAAAACCCGTGTGTTTGTTGCCCCACCCCCTCTGCTGGCCTGTTAGGAATATTATTCTTTCCTAATGACACTTTACAAGGCCCCACTCTTCTCCAGGATGTTCCCACGTCCCACATTGTTACTCTGCGGTTAAAAGGTAAATTAGAGTACTGCGTCCCCTGCCCAGAGGGAAAGATCA